GTTTTGTAAACTGGCTTGAGCTTTTTGTTGAGCTGTTTCTCTCTTGTTTAAAAGACTTTTGTCTTGTGTAGTAGCTGACTTCTGGTTTTTCCAAGAAAATTACCAAAAAAGGAAATTTTTTAGGAAATTTTTACTATTATCTTGCATTATTTTTTCTAATATTTAAGATAACTTTATAACTTTGTTTTCTGACTATTATTAGTATTATAACAAATGAAATGTTTTACTTTGATCTTATATTCTGCTATTTTTTATTTCAACTTTTTTCAAGTTATTTGCTTTCTATTTTTATTTATTATTATTATTTTCAGTTTTGTTACTTGTTTCACTTTTATAATTTTCTAAGAAATTTGCCTTTTTTAGTTTGATTTTGAATTTTTAGTAACACAAATTCTTATTAAAAATAATTGTCCAATATAAAATACATTAGTTCTTAAAATATAAACAAGTTTCTATTGATTATATTTATATATTTCAATGATATCATTAGTGATTAGAAAGAATATTCCAGAAATATTTGCTTCTAGAAGCTCAAGTTCCTTAATAAAGATATTCATAATATCAAAAAATCAAGTAATAAGTAATATAAGTTGCAAACTTTTATCTTTTATTTAAGTTTTTTAAGTAATAATAAAACTTTAATAAAAAAAAAATTAAGATCTGAATATTTTCTTTAAGATATTCTAATCCAATACTTTTTTAAATTAAGAATTAGTTAAATTGACTTATTCAATATTATAGATAATGAAAAAGAAAATTTCTTCTGAGATTTAAGTAAAATAAAAAGATTATTTCAATTAGGCAGATCCTTTTTAAGAAGAGATTATTTTTATTTTTGAACTTTTTAAATAGATCTTAAATTGTTTCCTTTTCAATCGATTTTCCTTTTTCTTCTTTATAATTTAACAATACATTAATTTTTGGATCAATTAACAGTGACAAACTGTTGGTAATGATTCTAATAAATAAAGATCATAACCAATCTATTAGAGAAATATAATATTATTCTCAAAATCCGATTTAGAATATTTATATATGAAGAGGAGTTAGTCATTTTGTGAAAGTCTATAAACTATTGTAGATATTGTTTTAAATTCTCAATAAAGACAAACCATCATGGCATAATTGCAATTAAAAAAAAATCCGAGAAATAATTAAAGATGAATAATAAATTCTTTAATAAATAATGCAAAAAGAAAATAGTATTTAACAGGGTCGAGATGAAGCAAGGTGATACTGAATACATTACAATACAAAAAATTAAAATTAAAAAAGAAATAAAATGATATCATCAAGAGATATTCAAAAAAAGAAATATTAATTATGACAAAATTAAAAAGAAGAGTACAAATTCAATAACAATGTGAATAAATATAGAAAAAAAATAATATAAACCGTATGTCTTACCTTATTATGAACAAAATTTCACTTAGTTTGATAAGTTAGTTGCATCACGATATTAATTTTATAATTATCATATAAAAATTTATTTATTTTATATAAAATTTAAATTTTGTTTTTTTAGATCTTTTTAAAAATAACAAGATAAATATGAAATTTAAAAAAATCAGAAAAATTATAACCCACACTATACATATATAAATATTATTTGATGGTTAATTAAGTGCAATAATCATTTATTGAACCATCAACCAGTACCAAAAAATTTAATTCCCATATCATCAGCATTCGTTCCTTGAAACAATTGAGCCGTACCGCGTTTAACCAGTATATCCAATGCTTTCAACAAAATTGTCTGATCCAATCCATGAAATTCTTTTAATAAAAAGTGAATAGTCAATTTTGTAGAACGAATAAAGTCAGTAATAAATTGGTGACTATAAAAAAAGACGTACCCAACCCTTCGGTTTCTTCTCCGTGCGCGATTTCGTATATTGTCAATATGGAATTATTAAGTCCACTATCAAGTACCTAGATATTAAATCCAATTAATTATTGATTGACTCGACATAAATTATTGATGAGATAAAACACAAAATCACCCATTTATCAATCAGCGATGCCCATTCTTCTGGCTTCCTCCAATAAATAAGTGCAGCTGCTTTCGTTGATGGAGGACTCCATTCTGCTGTTCCTAATCAAACAATCTTTTTAAATATTGCGGAATAAATTAAATTTGCACAGCAAAAACTAATTAAGATTAAAATATTCCTTTCTATGAGGTTATATATAACCACCTTGTTCAACCATTACTTCAATTATTTCTTGTAAAGTCTCAAGTTTTAACCTCCCTGTAAGAAATTAAAAGTAAGAGAGAAAAACTCTAATAATACCTGGAATATAATCTACATACGTTTTATTCCTTGATTATAAAATAATTCTCCATATGACCCTTCTGATAATTCAAGGCGATATAACTTGTGATGCTTAAAATAATCTAAGATAATTTGTGACCAAAGTTCTACTTGATGTTGCCAAGTGGCTTGCGTTTTCTGAGGGCTATAATGATGAGAATAACATGAAGATAAAAAAGGTGAAGAAGAGGATAACCTGTTCGGATGCTCGATAAATTATCTTGCCAATGCAAACGCGGAGGGTGTGATCGCGTCTTTGACTTACCTATAGAAAGGCCGAAAATTATGTATCGAAGGAAATTCGAAGGGTTGGGTCATAATGCTTGTGGTTGAGTAGAAGATTTTCGAAACATATACATTGAATTTAAATCATCAGCATGTGATTTGATATGTAATTAAAATAGTCTCAGGACCTTCGAGAGGTCAAATCTCATAGAATGAAGAAAATCAAATGATAAACTGAAGGACCATAGTAGTAAATTATAATTTGCGTTACAATGATTTAACAAATAAATTTAAAAAAATTAAAATTTTTGAAATTTAAAAAAATCAATAATTTTTAAAATATAATAATTTTGACGCAAGATATATTGTAATTATGATACAATTAATTTCTAGTAGTTTTTATAAGATTGAATATTTTATTAGGCTCTAAATTATTTATATATATTCTATTTAACTTAATTTGTAACATTTTGTTTTACAAATATTTTTTTTTTGCTTTTTTATGACTGTATATCTATAAAGTTTGCAATTATCTATCTTATATAAGTTAACAGCCTGTTAACATTGTAACTAGTGATTTAAGACTAGGCAAAATTAAATCACACAAATACGTTACACGAGAATGGCATTATAAATAATCTAGATGTACGTACGTAAAACGCGCAAAGAAATGGCTTCCGCGAAATCCAAAAAAGGTATCTTAAAATAATATTACATTCAAGTTAACTCTATTTTCAGTATTCAGCTTTGTTCATTATAGGTCCAACCCAGGTGTGAAATATTATTATATATTTTTTTCCTCACAATAGTCTAATCTAATATGTACACACTCTTTCAAACAAAAAAAAAGGCCGAATTGATGGTCAAAGCATGTTCAGAAATAATAAATGAGCTAATCAAAGCTCACGAATTAAATAAAGATATAAACCTCAATGGGCTGAAAACCAAATATTCAAGGTCTAATAAATTATCGAATCAACCGAAATTGGTAGACATTATTGCTGCCATACCCGAGCAATATAAAAGTGTACTGATGGGAAAATTAAAAGCAAAACCTATTAGGACCGCCAGTGGCGTATGTATGTTATTATCATTTTAAATTAAGATTGCATATTCAATTATCGTTTCGAATATTATTCTGGAATAGATTGCGGTTGTGGCAGTAATGTGTAAGCCGCATAGGTGTCCTCACATAGCCGTGACAGGAAATGTTTGTGTGTATGTATCTTGAAAGATTCAATAAAATCAATATTCTCGGTACTAATATCCTATTAATAACAAACGGATTTGTTAGATACTGTCCGGGTGGGCCCGATTCCGATTTTGAATATTCGACACAGTCTTATACAGGATATGAACCTACAAGCATGAGAGCCATTCGTGCGAGATATCATCCTTTGGAGCAAGCACGAGGTCGTGTTGATCAATTGAGAAGTTTGGGACATAATGTTGATAAGGTATGTCTTCTGTTTTTATAACTAGATCTATTATTATAGGAGTATATAATTTCTTTAAAAATTTTTTTGATTCGATAATAAATAAATAATAATAATAACCAATAGACTATATAATTATTATCTTGTTAACAATTTATTCTAATCATACTCTATAATCCATCAATACTTTATTTAGTCATGTTTTAAAAATTTTTTTGTCGAATAGGTTGAATACATTATTATGGGAGGAACATTCATGTCATTACCCGATGATTATAGAAATTGGTTCATATCTAATTTACATAATGCACTATCAGGACACACTACTGATGATGTAGATGAGGCTGTTAGGTAAGTATTACATTCTAAAAATTATATTATTTAAATATAGATAATTTTATGTTGTATTTAATGGTAATTAATCGAGTATAATGCATAAAACAGATATTCTGAGAAGAGTAATACAAAATGCATTGGAATTACGATTGAGACCAGGCCCGATTATTGTCTAAAGCCACATCTAAGGTATATTTCTTGCTCAATTATTAAATTTTCTTTTTTTCTCTTTTTTTTTTTTTACGAAAATTCACAACTTTAATTTTACGCAGTCAAATGCTTAAATATGGATGTACTAGACTTGAAATAGGAGTACAAAGCGTTTATGAAGATGTGGCAAGAGACACTAATCGTGGTCATACGGTCAAAGCCGTAATTGAAACTTTTCAATTAGCAAAGGATACAGGGTTTAAAGTGGTGTCACATATGATGCCTGATTTGCCAAATGTTGGCATGGAACGAGATCTGGAACAATTTAAGGTGACTTTTATGGATTTTTTTTTATATAATAATTTATTTTACGTTAAAATTTTCATAACTATTTATATAATTATAGGAATATTTTGAAAATCCAGCGTTTCGTACTGATGGACTGAAAATATATCCGACATTAGTAATTCGTGGAACTGGTATGTAGTTATTTTTTTTCTCATTAAAAACAAAAAAGGGTTATTTTAACAAATTTTTCTCCAATCGCTGTTATTTATATGAACCTGTTTAACTGCATAATTTAATATGAAGGTTTATATGAATTGTGGAGAACAGGTAGATATAAAAATTATACGCCAAATGCACTAATTGATTTAGTAGCCAGAATATTGGCTATGGTACCCCCATGGACTAGAATTTACCGCGTTCAGAGGTATGTTGTAGTTTCGTTTTTTCATTTTTTTTTTGTTTTAAAAAAGTATCAACAGGTGTGGGACTATAAGAATGGAGTGATTGATCCGATCTTAAAAATATTTAATTCAGACGTCATTATGTTAACATATTTATTTCTATGAAATTAAAGGGACATTCCAATGCCATTAGTTACTTCTGGTGTAGAACATGGTAATCTCAGGGAGTTAGCTTTAAACAGAATGAAGGATTTAGGTATTAAGTGCAGAGATGTAAGAACTCGCGAAGTCGGTATACAAGATATTCATAATAAGATTAAACCAGAGGAGGTAAGTTGCTTATGATAGATTTTGAGACAACGGACTAATCTGCTTATTTATTATAATTTATATTCATTTACATATATTTTATCTATAATTTTATGTACGATAGGTTGAACTAATTCGAAGAGATTACGTAGCTAATGGCGGTTGGGAAACTTTTCTTTCCTATGAAGATCCAAAACAAGATATCCTTATTGGCCTACTTCGCTTACGTAAATGCACCACGCCAAACTCCACGCCATTTAGTTCATTTCGACCTGAGCTTGTTGAATATCCAACTAGTATTATTAGAGAATTGCATGTATACGGAAGCGTAGTGCCAATGCATAATAGAGACCCCACGAAGTTTCAACATCAAGGATATGGTACATTGTTAATGGAGGAAGCGGAGCGAATTGCATTGGAAGAGCATGGTAGTGAGAAGATTGCGGTTATTAGTGGAGTTGGAGTGAGAGGATATTATGAAAAATTAGGATATAAACTGGATGGTAAGTAACAATATTGGTGTCTTGTAAAACAATAAAACGTTAAATTTATAATTATTTATTTTTTAAATTTAATTTAGGTCCATATATGTCCAAAATGTTAGAATGAAAGAAGCCAATAGTTGTTTTTTGAAAAATATATAAAAAAATAAGTGTTTATTATTAAAATTTTTTTATATACCGTATTTATTTGTGATTATTTGAATATTGTAAATATTTAGTTTTTTTTTTTTTTTTGAGTACCCATAGCCAGGCTAGATAGTAGTTTATTAATCAACTGAAAATATAATACATTTTCACTTGAGCGGCATAATATATACATTAGTCGAAATTATGTCATTCTGTTACCAAATTATTGCTGAATTTGGCAAAAATTAATAATAAAAAGATTGATGAATTATTTACAATTGCTATCACTTGGCATTAAAAATATCAGCAAAAAATTGGCAAAAAAATATTGGTATACTGTAAAAAAAATTCAACACAAAATTCAGCAATATTGTGGCAAAAAAAAATTTTTGCATATTGCGGTAAAAAATTTGACAAAAAAATTGATAATATGATTAAAAATTTGACAAAAAAATTGATACTGTGGCAAAAAATTCAACAAAAAAATTGATACTGTGACAAAAAATTTGGTAAAAAAATTATTGCAAGAAAAAATTTGACAAAAAATTACTGCAGCAAAAAATTCAAATTTTACAAAATTTATTAAAAAATTACAAGATCAATTAATTAAATTATTTGGTATCTTCTTCTTTCTTCTCTTCCTCCTTTTTTACTTGCTTTTCTTTTCCCTTTAAAGATTTCAGCTTGACTCTTTTAAAACTAGTCCTAATTGGTTTTACCTTGCTAAATGTTTTCTAAGATTTTTTACTTTTTTTTCTAACCTAACTATCTCCAAATTTTGCCTATTTATATACTTTCCCCAATTTGTTCCTCATTCTTTAAATATATTAATAATTTTTCATATTCAATAATTTTTTGTCTTTTGAATTTAACTACTGATTTTTTATCTTTTCCTGTCTCTTTTTCTTGTTCACGTTCTGAAATTTCTTTCAAACTGTATACTAAATTTAGCAAGTTTTCTGGTAATATCATGTTATAAAAATATGAATCATCACAATATTATTTACAAGTTGGCTGAAATGCATGAATTGATTTCAAATATTTATTCAAATATTTATTCAAATATTTCAATAAATTCTTTAACTATAAGTAATTATAATTAATATTATAATTATTTAGTATAAAATATTTTATCGAAAAATATTTCTTCAGAATATCAACTGTAATTATATATATTTATTTTTCTTTTAGTGAAATTTCTCAGATCAGTCTTACTTTTTTTCAAGTGAATACATCTTTGTTTCTTTAATTATATCAGTTAATTTATCCCAATATTTGACAACTTTCTTTAATCTTCATTCAACAAATAGTTATGTACTTTTAATTCTTCATACCCTTTTCTTAATTATTTATTAAAAATTAATACTTAAAGGTAATATAAATATAGAATATTATTAATCTTGCTTCATTTAACTGGTTATTTGTATATAAGCGATAATTGTCTACTTCCAGTTTTTCTGTTTCTGTTTTCTGATATCTTTCTCTTTGATAGTAATGTAAAGTACCTAATCATTCATTTATTTACTTTTGTGAGGAATTAAAATGTGAGACCATGGATTTTATTAATTTAAATATCAACTTTTGTAATATTTTTTTATTCACATCACTTGAAAAAACTTTATCTATCTCAGTTTATATTTGTCAAGAATGATTTTCATTAAGGTCTTCATTTTTGCTCTTGCTTTTTCTGATTTTAACATATTTTTGATATCT